AACCTGAGGGACTCATTTTGTGGCATGATATCTGACAGTATTCTAGTGTTCTTCATCATGTTTCAATATTCAATATTCTGATACTGACAGTGTTCACTGCTATTCAGAAGCTTTTCAGTGAGTAAATATCTGGAACTAATCCATCTCTCCTTCTTCCTGGTCTGTCTTAGTCTGGAAACTTATCTGAAGCCTGTCTACCAGTGTGACCATGATGGTATCTAAAATAGTGGTGACATAGCTTTCAGAATCACAGCAACATGCAAACCACCAGAATATGTCCATATTCTGGCAAATGAATGGTGGCATTTGGGACTAATATAATAGACACTCCTGAACACATATATTAATGTATATATGAAGGCATTTCTGTTGGTAATATACCTAAAATTAGAATTGCTGTGTTATGTTGTTGTTGTTCTTAACTGCTGTCGAGTCAGTTCCGACCCATAGCAACCCTGTATAGGGTTTCTGAGGAGCATCTGGTGATCTTGAGCCATCGGCCTTGCATTTCAAATGGCTTTGCAGTCTGGTGCATTAACCCACAGCGCCATCCCAGGATATTTTCAATTTTAATAAATATTTTGAACAGTTTACCAATGTAGTTTACAGATTTATACTCCTATCACAAGAATATGATAATTTTTGTTGTTCTATATCCTCTTTAACAAATGGCATTATCATCAGGCTTTTTAATTTTGGCAGTAATTTGAAATTTCATTGGGACTATAATGTGTATGTTTCTGCTGAATAAAAATTTTGAAAGTGTTTTCTGATGTTCACTGATTGTTTTATTTCTTTGTAAAATGTCTTTTATAATTTTGTTTTTTGGGGTTTTTTTAAAATAAGTTGTCTTTCTCTTGATAGCTGATTTAGAACATTTCTCCCCAACTCTGATTTTTGGCTTGTCTTTAATTTCTTAAAGTGTTTTTGAGTAAGTTTTTTTCTATCAATATATCAGACATTTGATTGTTTTCCTTTATGCTTAGGAAGATATTCTCTATTACAATCTTACAAAATATTTTTATCATAATATCTCATTAAAATTAAACGTTTGATTTTTCTTTCACATTTAGGTGTACAGACTATAAGGAAATTTTAGATTGTTTTATATGAGCTGTTGTTAGGTGCCATTGGGTCAGTACGTTTAGACTCACATCAACTCTATGCAAAACAGAATGAAATACTGACTGGTCATGAGCCATCCTCATAATTGTTACATTTCAGCCCATTGTTGCCTCCACAGTGTCAATCCATCTCCTTGGGGGTCCTCACACACACACACACACTGACCCTCCATTTTACCAAACATAATAGCTTTCTCCAGGGACTTGTCCCTACTGATAACATGTCTGAAACATGAGAGAGGAAATCTCAATAACCTGCCTTCTAATGAGCATTCTGATTGCACTTCTTCCAACACAGATTGGCTTGTTCTTCTTGCACACCAGAGTATTTTTATTATTATTTTCCAACACAATTCAAATGCATTGCTTCTTCTATGGCCTTTCTTATTCATTGCCCAACTTACACATGCATATGAGGCAAATGAATATACCATGGCTTGGGTATTTTCAAAATATTGCCCAAAGATCAAAACTAAAAATTATATTGATTTTCTTTGATCATTTTGAATCATATGTAATGTATATGTTCTCAAGCTATCTATGCTCTTTTGCACTTTAAAGTGGTCTTGTGCTGCAGATTTGCCTAGTGCAGTATATTATTTGATTTCTTCACTGCTGCTTCCATGAATATTGATTGTGAATCCAAGCAAAATGAAGTTGTTGGTGGTGGTGGTTATGTGCGTTGGAGTTAGTTGTGACCCATAGCGACCCTGTATAACGTTTCCGAGGCTGTAAATCTTTATGGGAGCAGAAATTCTCATCTTTCTCCCACGGAATAGCTGCTACTTTCGAATTGCTGATCTTAAGATTAGCAGCCCAATTCATAACCACTATGCTTTCAGAGATCTTTAAAATGAAGTTATAGGCATTTTATTTTTTAATGTGGATACAGCAATTTACTGAAAATAGAATCACTTGTTCACTATAAAGCATAACAAACATTGTCATAAATCTGATAAGTTTTATAACTTTATATTTTGTTCTATTTTATTTTTTGTCCACCCTTACACTAATATAACCCTGTCTTCATTGCTATGATTCTTTGATAATACTTGATATCTGGAGGAACATGACCTTGCACATTTTTCTTCTTCAAGAGGATATCAATATATTCAATTTTAACACAGCATCATATGGTTGGCCTTTTGCATTTCCATACTAATTTAGGAGTCCTGGTGTGGCACTTGGGGTTAATGTGCCAGACTACAAAGTCATTTGAACTGCAAGGTCGGTGGCTCAAGCTCACCAGCTGCTCCTCGAAAACCCTACATAGGGACGCTATGGGTCAGAATCGACTAGATGGCACTTCACAACAACAACAACATATTAATTTTATAATTAGCTCGTGAGGTTTTAAAAAAAAATGAAATGAAGATTACAGGATTTTTACAAAGATCACATTGAATGTAAAAGTTAGCGTGTATGTAGTGTTCATATTCAAATATGCGGTTCATTTGCTTTTCATTTATAAATGCTTGTTTTAGTTTCTATAATGCTTTGTGGAGTCATGGTGTGGCATTGTAGGATAATGTGCTGGACTTCAAAGTCAGTTCAAACTGCAAGGCCTGCAACTCAAACACACTAGCTGATCCTTAGAAACACTATACAGGGTTGCTATGTGTCAGAACTGACTCAACAGCACTTAACAACAACAACATAATGTTTTGTATTTAATTTACCTATTTTTGCTTGACAAGACATCATGTTTGGTAAAGTAGAGGGTCAGTGAAAAGAGGAGGACCCTCAATGAAATGGATTGACAAGGTGATTGCAATAATGGATTCAAACATAACATTTTTGAGGAAGGTGTGGACCAGGCAGTGTTTCCTCCTATTGTACATAGAATTGCTATAAATCAGAACCAACTCTATGGCACATAACAACCACCATTTATTAGAAGGTACATGACTACTTGAATGTACAAAATTGAATATCAGCAACAACAAAAAAAGTTAGCAAGCAGTAGATGTATTCATTGGCAGTATTGAAGGAAGAAGTACTCTGCCAGATGTTTGCTGACCTAAACATCTCATTCAGAAATTACTTGAGACAGTTGAATATGCAGTGCTCAAGCATCTTTGTTCCTCATTTGTGATGGTGCTAAAATTTTCAATCAAAAGTGACCACTGTGTGGCATTTGTTGTTGTTGTTGTTGTTGTTGTTAAGTGCCGTCAAGTCAGTTCCGACCCAAAGCAACCCTGTATAGGTTTTCTGAGGGGTAGCTGGTGAGCTTGAACCACTGACCTTGCAGTTCAAATGGCTTTGTAGTCTGGCCACATTAACCCACAATGCCACACCATGTGGCATTAGTACCATGTTAATTTTGATAGACTGAGTCAACAAAAGATATTCAACGTATAAGACAAGCCAAGACAGGTCATTAAGGGAAGCCAAGAAATCAAACAAAAATAATACAAAATATGAAGACCATAGGCAGAACTGATTGGAATTTCAGAAAAAAAATAACTTCACATGAAGGACCACAGAGTAATAGAATGTAGTTGTGTTGTACATGGATAAAGCACTAGACATAAGGCATGAAGGCTTGGAGATATAATATTGGAACTATAGATTCTAAAGGCACTGTCTCCCAGTAAAATGTAGATGAATTTAGATTCCAGAAAAGGATTAGAATTGTTCCCTTTATAGGCTCAGTCTATGGTCAGGCACACATTGGAGTCATCTGGTATCTATGTCATTTATGACATGTATGCCTCTCCTAAGAGGATTGGTGTGGATCACTATAAGGTAAATTCAGGATAATATAGGAAAAAATTAATTACCTGGACCAAAGAAAATAGAAACCTTAGGAATCAGAGATGTAGAATCTGTCTTAAGGTCATTTACTCTTTCTAAACCTTAGCACCATATCCTTCCCATCCTATAACCACAACACAAACCTAAATTATCAACTAGTCAGAATAACATATTGGCAAAATGCAGACTCTGGTCTCAAAAGATGTCAGTTCGAATTCTGGCTCTGCTATTTACTGGTCTTGTGACCCCATAACTTTAGTTTTCCCATCTGTAAAATTGGGAGAATTAAGTGGCTAGTTCAGTTAAAACACTGCCTAAAGTATAGCCCTTTTTCCCCAGTAACTGTTCCTTAGTACTGTCAGTTTCAAATCAGGAAAGAGGCCACAGTCATGCAGATTACTCCTGGAAAGTAAAGCCCAATAAAATCTAGCCCAAACTACAATAACCTGTACAATAATTTCAGAAGGAAAATATAAAACAATAAAAGAATTATAACCGTCTATTTAAAGAAATAGAGTCCTGATGTGACACTGTAGGATAAACATTAGATCACAAGGTCAGTTTGAACCACAAGGGTGGTGGTTTAAAGTCACCAGTCACTCCTTGGAAACCGTATACAACATCGCTATGAATCAGGACCAACTCAGATGGCACTTAACAACAACAATAAGAACATTTAGGGAACAGTATTATTTACCAAGGCCTGACATGCTGTACTCAGTTCTAGTTGGTATATATCAAGATAAGCAATGAGTAGGGACAGTAGTAACCTAGATACATCATGAAAATTAAGTTTGGAGGAAAACATGATCAAATAAAAATACCATTAGTGTAGACATAAAAATCTCTTTTTTCTTTTATATCAAATTTTAAAAGTTGGTCATGACAAAACACTTCTTGAAATTTGATGGAGATCTGTGGAAGGTAAATAATGTTATTTGACACTGCAGGAAATCACTCATCACAAAAAGTACCGCTAGTGCGAAGCATAATTTGGCAGATAATTAGAGAAGGATCATCACTTTATCTACAACTCTATGTTCGCTTATGGTCTTGTTTTTCCATGTTATGTTTCCTTTCCCTTTTTGAAACATTAACCAATATATTCCTCATAGTTACCCTTGATATCAGTATGGATGACATCCACAAATTCTGCATCAGTGTAATGTAATCTGCTATATGGTGGTTTTCCAGAAAATTTTGGTCCAGCAGGATCAAGACCTGAAATGCGAGCAAGAATTTCTCATAAAGTACTACTACAGTGTTCACTAGATTGCACACTTGCATTATTATTATAAATATATTAAATCTATCCAGTTTCAATTTAAATCTGTCCAGAAATGCATGTAGAGATAAATAAAACTGGATAAATATCTTCATTATTTGAATAGTATTATTTACCAAACTTCACAGTATGTTAAGCTTCACTAGATGCCTCAAGACAATACTGAATTATAAATAACTAGCACACAATTTGAGAAGTTGGGGGAGATAATAAATACTGCCTTGCTTGAATTTTGTGTCTTACTAGTTCCTATGAGATATATTTACAAATCTAACATTAATTTTACAGGTCAAATATTAATTTGAGTTGTGGGGTAAAGCATATTTATTATCCACCATTCATTATTAACTAAAGTTTTACACTCTTAAGAAAAGATAAATATATTCAAAGTTATATGAATTGTGGCTATTATTTCTTCAGTATGTGAAATTCTAAATTAAGATTATATGCTTGTGACCTTCTAGAAGGCATGAAATGAATGAGAGTGGCTGTGAAGTGGTGCAGATAAGATCCAACATCTTGCAAGGACCTAAACCACCAACGAGATGGATTGGCCAAGTGGCAGCATCGATGGACTCAAGCGTGGCAACAGTAGTAAAGTTGGCCCAGGATCGGGCAGTGTTTTGTTCTGCTGTACATAAGGTCACTATGAGTAGGTACAAACTCAATGTCACCTAACAACAACAACAAGGCAGTGGAAGAAGCAATCATCTTCAAAATATTTTTAATCAGTAGGACTAATAGTCCACAAGAATGAAAGCTTCTTCTAACCTGAGACCAGAAGAACTAGATGGTGCCTGGCTACCAATGGCTCTGACTAGGGAGACAATGGAAAACCCAGATAGAATGGGGGGAAATGTAGAACAAAACTCAAATTCCTAAAAATGGTCAGATAAACAAGACCAATCAAATTAGTGGGACCCAAAGAAGATGATCCTATGATAATCTTTGACATGGAAACTGAAGGTCTTTCTGAAAGCCACCTTTTCGCCAAGTAATAATTGGTTTATAAAATAGACACTCTCACTTGTAAGTGATAGTGCTGGAAAATGAGGCCCTCAGGTTGGAAGGCACTCAAAATGCAACTGGGTTTTGCTGCATCCTCAAAGTAGAGTTGACAGTGATGATGTGAATGGAGTAAAGCCCATGGGAGTAAAGCCCACGGGACCTTAATTTACTGATGGGGCACAACTCAAAATGAAGGGAAACAGCTTTAAACATCCATTGAAAATCATAACATGGAATGTACAAAGTATGAATCTGGGAAAATTGGAAGTTGTCAAAAATGAAATGGAATGAATAAATATCGATATCTTAGGTATTAGTGAGCTGAAATAGAGTGGTATTGGCCATTTTGAATCTGATGACCACATGGTTTACTCTGCTGGAAATAACAAATTGAAGAGGAATGGTGTTGCATTCATTGTCAAAAATAACATATCCAGATCAGTCATGAGGTACAACTCTGTCTGTGATAGGATAATATCCATGTGCCTACAGGGAAGCCCAATTAATACCACTATTATTCAAATTTACAGAACAAGTAGTAAAGCCAGTGAGGATGAAATAGAAGAATTTTAACAACTTCTTCAATTTGAAATTGATCAAACATGCAATCAAGGTTTATTGATCATTATTGGTGATTGGAATGCAAAGGTTGGGAGCAAAAAGGAAGGATCACTAGGTGGAAAATATGCCTTGGTGATAGAAATGATCCTGGAGAATGCATGATAGAATTCTGCAAAACCAATGAATTGTTCATTTCAAATACCTTCTTTAGACAGCATAACAGACGTTATGGACCTCACCAGATGGAATACATAGAAATCAAATTGACTACATCTGCAGAAAGAGAAGATGAAAAAGCTTCATATTATCAGTGAAAGCAAGGCCAGGGGCAGACTGTGGAACAGACCATCAATGACTCATATGCTAATTCAAACTGAAGCTTAAGAGAATGAAAAGAAGACCATGAGAGCCAAAATATGATCTTGAATATATCCCACCTGAATTTAGGAATCATCTGAAGAACAGATTTGATACATGAAACACTAAAGACTGAAGAACAGAAGAGTTGTGGGATGACATCAAGAAAATCATACATGAAGAAAGCAAAAAGTCATTAAGAAGACAAGAAAGAAGGAAAGGTCAAAATGGATGTCAGAAGAGACACTGAAACTTGCTCTCCAGCATAGACATGCTAAAGCAGATGGAAGAAATGAGGAGGTCCAAGAGCTGAAA